GACAAGCAAATACACAATGGGGACGTCAGTTTATGACAAAGAATGTAGAATAATATTTTCTATTATAGTTGTAAAATTCTAGAAACCTAAATTGATTCTAAAACAAAGAGTAAAAACGGAAAGGATAATCGTAATACGATATTGATTCCAATCTGAAGAACGAAAGGAGAAGCCTAATTCGGTCAGTAAGCTTTGAAGAATTTGAGTCCTAAACTAAGACCAAATAAACAATGGAATTTGAATCCCAAATTGATCCAAAGGGACGTGTCCTAAACTAAGACCAAATAGATAATGGGATTTGAATTAGCCGATAATTAGTTTTTTTTTTTTTTATTTATTTTGAAAGAAACGAAAGGATAAGCCTAATTCGATCAGTAAACATTGAAGAATTTGAGTCCTAAACTAAGATGGATTTGAATCCCAAATTGATCAAAAGGGGCGTGTCCTAAACTAAGACCAAATAGATAATGGAATTTGAATTAGCCGATAATTAGTTTTTTTATTTATTTTGAAGAAAATAGTTATTACATTTACAATTATATCCAACATATAATACACTTACGAAGGGTAAAAAAGGTGAACGACATTTCGATAGGGCCTTCGTGCTTTTAATATATACTGATCTTAGGATACGCGCGTTGCGCGTGTACCCATATTCATGTATGTAAAAAATTATATAACTATTATAAAATATATACTTGAGTTATAAAATAAAAAAATGAAAGAAAAAAGTGTAAGTTTCTGAAAGTGAAAAATGTTGATCCTTCAGTTAAACGGATAAAAATCTCGTGTATCTATCTAGCACAATATTTGCTTTGTCATGAAATGAGAAACTCAAATTTATTGATTATCTTAGTTGCTTAATTTGGTATAAAAAATTATTGTACTTTTTAATTTTGTCTGAAGACAATTAAGAGAATGTTGAGCCTATATTTTCTAATGATTTTTCTATATAAAAAAAGTTGTTTAATTTGGCTTACTACATTTTTGGAAAGAATTATAGTTATGTTACCGCTAATTCATTAAATGAATGATTTATATAAGCTAAAACCTTAGATTTTAAAATCCTACTCTCTCTCTCATGAATTTATGTATCATACTTTCTTTTCTAATATGTCCCAAAAATAAAATTCATACTTCTTTATTTAAAAATAATTTAATGTTAGACTTTTTAATTTACTCTTAAAAAGATGATTTATGCCTGCATAAATATTTGTGGCTTGTTTAGATAATAAATTTTAAAAAAATTCGTCTTTTTTAAACTTCNGGGAGACTCGAACTCACAACCTCTCGGTTGGAAGTGGGGGTTGCTTACCATCAGAGCAACCCCTGCTTACCATCAGAGCAACCCCTCTTGTCTAAAATAAGGAAAATTTAATAATAAAAATTTTAGTTGATTTTGAAGTCCTAAATAATAGGAAATTAACTTAAATTACAGTATTGTCCAATATAAAATCTATTCTTGAAGGGTAAAAAAGGCGAACGATATTTCGCTAAGAGCCTTCGTGCTTTTAATATAGTATAGATATAGATTCATAATTTTGAATTGAAAAAAGTACAAAGACCCTCTTCAAAAGCTTATTGTATCATTGCTACCAAAACTTTTTTTAATATATTGTGCTAATGACCTTTTAGACTATAAAGATTTTTTTTTTTTGGCAAATAAAATTTTTTATAAGAAAAGGTTAAATAAAAATATAAATATTTTCTTCTCTCTTTGGGCTGTACTAACCAGTTTTGGTAATAAAATTAATTACTTACAGGGAAAAAAATCTATTTTTTTTTATAAATTATTGCAAACATCAGATCACAATTTATTATTTCGTGAACAAACTGAAAATTATATTAGCAAACACTATACCCAAGTCTCACATTGCTCAAAAAAGATAATCTTATATTTACACAAATTTTTAAAAGGGGAGGCAAAATTTAAACGGTAACCTAAAAAGATGACATTTGAGTAAATCCAACCTTTCTTTCGGGTGAAATACACGATTAGCCTTCAAAGTGAATAGTCTTGAATTTTTATTTCCACTTATCCCATGGGCAGAACTTCAAGTTTAACAAGTGTTGCCCCTCGCTTACTCCATGGGCAACACTTTTAATTTTTGACTTTAAAATTCTGTCCATGGGACACGCGGGGTTAAAAGTTAAAAATCACCCCATATTTTTTGTAATTTTTTATTGGAATTTTTACACCCTATAGAAAACCTTAGTACCCTATTTATTTTAAATAAATACCATTTTAAAATATTACATCCTATAATACCTTTTATCCTTTATTGCAAAAAATCTAAATATAGTTACATCCTACAATTAAGGCACCATATATGCTAAATATTATTTTTCTCTCTCCCTTTTTGTATTTTCTCTCACATAATTACCGCGTATCTGCAAACCCCAATACAATCTCTCTCTATTTGCATACAACCAGATTCTCTTCTCCCACAAACCCTAGTTTCTTAATTCTTCTCCCACCCAAATTCTCAATTTTCTGCTCCGCGTCACCAACGTTATCTATGTGCATATTCGATAAGAAATACAGATTGGAATTACTAACCGTATTTGTGGAGGTTTTGAGCGGAGACCCAATTCACTGCTGGAGTCAAGAAAGAACGTAACCAAAACCCCATTTGTAATTGGAGTAGCTATTGATTTATTCTTCTCACCATAGCTTCCGTTGGCTTTGTTCCACTTCTTGACTGGAATTGGCAGCAACTTTCTCGTTGAGTTCAAGCTTGAGGATTGAGTTTTTACTTGTAAGTGTAATGTGAAAAGGGAAAAAAA